CGAATATGTAGAGAATATGAAATCACTAGATGGCCACATCACAAGACTAGAAAGGTTAATTTCCATGTTAGCCAAGGGGTATCTTTTCAAGCTACTGAACCATATGTGGGCCTGCTCTTTCCCAAGAAAAAGGCACACATCATTTGTCACAAAAGATCTGCTGCAACAGGAAAACCTTGTGATGATGACTTTAAAGGTTACATATAAAGGTGATATCATTAAGTTCCAACTCCCCTTTTCATCAACGAGGGTAGAACTGGAGGGGGAAGTGGAAAAGAGGTTTAAGATATCACTTCAAAGATTTTCAATTAAGTATGAAGATGAAGATGACGATTGGATTTTGATAACTACTGATTCAGATTTGAGCTATGGTATGCATTCACTAAGATTGTCAGGACAGACTACTATGAGATTACTGGTTAACCCAGAAGCTGACTCATGAAGGATTTTCCGAAAGTGTGTTATCTTTTGGTGATATGGTGTTTGTCTCTTCCCTGAGGCTGAGGTGTTGTGACATGTCTTTGTTCTCAGTGTACCAAGGTGGTTAATGCTATTATGCAGTGTTTTAAGCGTGAGGCGAGGCATTTTACTTAGTGCCCGTTTGGATTGACTTATTTTAGGTGCTTTTAAGTCAAAATAGCTTTTAAGCAGTTTTGAAGTGTTCGGGTAAAGTTAAAAAATGCTTATAAGCACTTATTTTAAAGCCAAAATAACAAAAATAAAGCCAAAAGCCATTATAAGCCAAAAGTCAATCCAAACAAGCCCTAGTATAGGGTGAGGCACAAGCTTCGAGACGTGGGGAATAAGCCCTATGGATCTTTAAATTTTTTATTTATATTAAAATATAATAATATAATAACACAAAATTATAAAAATAAATCAATAGTTTGAAATAATTACAAATGTGATTAAATAAACTAATACTAGAAAATAAAAGTTCTAACATGATTATACAAGTATAAATAATCTAATATCTTAACTTTCTAATAATAAAAGAATCATTATCTCTCAAAAATATTATTTTATCATACTATACGATTTACCCCCTTAAAAGAAAATAATTAATAATCTTACTAGCATTATAATAAAAACATCACCCATCATGAATAAAAATAAAATTACTTTCAAATAGCTAAATAAAATATAATAATTTTGAGATTGATGACAAAATCATGAAGACCAATGATAACTGAAAAAGTAAAATTTTTCGTGACCTATTTATAAAAGAAATGTTACGTAATATAGTTACCAAATAGGAAAGATGCGATACTAAAACTTGTTATTTGAGTTATTCTCAATTTTTTCTCCATAGATTAAAAATTATTATGTATCATTCAATTATTCAAAAATTATGAGGGTCAACAATCTTAACTAAATATTTTAACACTGTGTAAGATCTGTTAGGCAAGCCTTGAGTTTTGAGTGTTGGGCGTGCTTAGGGTGTACAGTTGGGGGCCTAGGGCATAAGTCTTACGGAACTAAGCCCTACACTTGAGTCTCGAGGCGTTTTGCTAAAGTTCCACCCTAGGACGAGTCCCGAGACGAATCCCAACAGGGTTTTTTAAAACACTGCTATTATGAATGCGGAATTATCAAATTACGTTTGGGCTCATGGAAAGATGTCTATATTCCAACTCCACAACTTTTTGCCATTTTTTTTTTTCCTTTGGCAATTTCCACACGAATTACCGCGTGGAAAAATGTAGTACAGTTTACTTTATGTATTTCGAACAAAAAAAAAACGCGGAGCCTCTTGAACCTTTTGAGCTTCTTGAGCCACTTGCACCCGCCTATAAATTAGTGGTAAGTGTACCGGTGATAAGTCAGAATTTTATTAAGGAGTGTCAAAAATATAAAATATTAAATACACAAGAAAATCAATGAAATAAATTCTACTAATGAAAGCAAAAGATAGTTACATTATAATTCGACAAGATATATAATAATAAGTGTGTCGTCGTTTTAATTGTTCTAAAATTATTCAATTTAAATATGTCAACTAGAAAATATGATTTCGATTTGACAAAAAAAGAGATAAAGAGAAAACTTGAAGAATTAAATAAATCCCAAAAAGGAGCCCTTGATAGATTTTTTTAACAAAAAATAAAAAATTCTGAATAAAAAAGTATTGCTTATAGAATAATGTTAACAATTCACGGTGCCTCAGCCGAAAGAAGTTTTTCGAAACGAAAATTGATAAAGTCTTATCTAGATCAACAATGTCTCAAGAGATATTGATGGATTAACTATATTATCAATTGAAAAGGAATTATTAAAACATATCGATTATAAAATAATAATTAATAACTTTGCATCTAAAAAGGCTAGAAAAGTAGATTTTAAATAAAGTATATATGATGATTTTTTTTAGGGATAAGGGTCTGAAAAATACCTCAACTTTAGTCGAATTTGCTGTTGCGATACTAAACTTTCATGAGGACCTATTACCTCCCTAGACTATTTAATAGTGTATTTTTTTACCCCCCTGAACTATTTAATCGTGTATTTTAAAGGTATATATGTGCCCACGTGGACGACATTACTATTTATAATTTTGCATTATTTTTTATGTCCACGTGGGAAAATATATACGTTTAAAATACGGTATTAAATAGTCTAGAGAGGTAATATGTTCTCATGAAAGTTTAGTATCGCAACAACAAATTAGACCAAAGTTAGGGTATTTTTTAGACCCTTATCTCTTTTTTTTTTATAAATTTTTTTTTAAAAAAAATATTAGGGCCCCTCTTTAAGATTTGGCTTTAGGCTCCAAATCTTGTTGAGTCAGCCCTGGTTGTAGAGATGCTAAACCATTATAGAACTATTAAGATATTGACTTATCGGTTATTGGTTTATCGGTTTTTGATAGTTATCGGTTCGGTTATCGATTTAACCGTTAAGATTTGACACAAAAAAAATCATTTAAAATCACTTAGAAACAAGGTGACAAACCAAATAAACCATGCACATGAGTTCATAAGTTAGATCTTGTTCAAAAGCAAACACTTTTATATTGTAGAATAATCAAGAGTTTGAGACAACAAAAAATAAAAGTAGGAAATCAAACTCTAAGTCAAGGATTTTATATACAAAATGGTATAAATATAATTATTTAACTTACTATTGGGTTATCGGTTAACCCATTAAGAAAAAACCTTAAACCGTTAAGAACTGATAACCCGATAACAAAAAAATCAAAATCGTTATTAAAATCATTAAACCAATAACTCATTATTGATAAACCAATAATTTTTTTTTAGATTCAGATTATCGATTTTGAACAGCCCTAAATGCAATTGCTCAATTACAATTTAAATGACCAAAATACCCTTCAATTCCTAGGAGACATGTTGATACCAATAATTTTACCGACTCTTCTAATATAATAGAAAAATAATAAAATCACACAACGTGGGAGAATAAATAACTTATGGTACTATAGTGGTGGAAGATAAAAGGGCAATAATTAATTCATGAGTGTCTATATACAATATATAAAAGAAAAAGTGAAATTTTTGAAGTCTAATATTGCCTGTGTCTTTAATTATTTGTCAACTTTTAATTTGACACACCTATTAAGAAAATCATGATTGACATAATGAGTTTACCAATTTATCCCTATTAACTATGAAGTGGATGAATTAAAAATTTAAGATTTTCAAAAAAAAAATTCAAAGTAATTAATTGAGGATATAATAAATAATTTTTTTTTGTCCTTTCTTAATTTGTCAAAATAGACAAATAATTAGGAACAACCATAAAAAGAAGAGTGAACAAGTAACTAGGGACAGAGGGAGTAAATCACAACAATCATATTGTAACAATTACTACATTAATATTGTAAAGTTTCTTCCACTACTTTAAATTGAATGCTACTCCCTTGTCCCTAATTACTTGTCCACTTTTCATTTTTTAGTTGTCCCTAATTACTTGTCTATCTTAACAAATCTAGAAAGGACAATGTTTTTTTTTATCTATTATACATTCAAGTAATTACTTTGAAAAAGGTAGAACTTCTTAAAAATATTAAGTTTTTAATTCACCCACTTCACAATTAATAAGGGTAAAATGGTAAATTCACTATGTCAATTATTATTTTCTCAATAGGCGTGTCAATTCAAAAGCGAATAAGTAATTAGACAGAGAGGGTAGTAGATAAAGTGCAATACATTTCATTTTGTTCACTTTCATACAATGTAAAGTTACCTACTTTCTTTCCCTAAACATAATGCTCACCACAACAGATGAAGAAAGGGTTACATATCTTATCATTTAGATTATTAATTTACCGAGTACTTTCTCTATTTTAAATTAATTAAATTTTTGTGGTGTTTCACATTCTTTAAGAAAAGGAGACTAAGACATAAATTAGAAAATAATTTTTCAGTTTTATCCTTATTAATTATTGTCAAATTTATGATTAAAATAACTAAACATTAATTAATAACTAATTTCAATACTAACTAATGAAGGGTAAAATTAGAAGAACATTTTAAAAGTGGTCTTGAAAATTGAACAATTAAATTAATTTGAAAAATGTCTCAACAATTCAATTAATTTGAAGCGGAGGGAGTATTAATTTAGCGTGATTTTACTGTAGATGGTAATAATATTTGAATAATATTTAATTATGACATAAAAATATGTAACACCCATTTATATTTCATGTAAAAATAGTTAACTGAATTCACAAATTTAAAACTAAATTTATTGAAAACTTGAATTTAAAATAATAGTTACTAAATAAATGTACAATGATAAACTTGAAGTATGAAGTGAATTTTCTTACTATTTGAAAGAGTGTCACTGTCATACAAATTGAGAATTATGGATGCTTTTTATAAATTCAATAAAGAACAAATTCTATAACTCTTTGCCTTTCTTTCTCCTGTTGCAATTTCTACTGTGGCTACAGCGTGGATACTACAGTATATTTTTTTATGTATTGCCACAAAACGCGGAGCCTCTTTAACCTCTTGAGCTTCTTGCACCCATCCACAAATTAAATTTGTGGTTTTTTGGAGATACTTTCTTGCACCCATCCACAAAAGCGTGTATTTTGTGTGCTCACAGTAAATTAGTGTAGAGAACAAAAAGCAAGTGGCCCCTATATAAGCAGCAGAGAAGAGGGGCAAAAGGCAGTGAAATTCTCCTCTATGGAGCATCTTCTTCATCAAGCTTCAGAGGTATGTGCCGTAATGCCCTGTCAACTGGACTGGTATCAACTGAACTGTAATGGCTGGGCATTTTGGAGCATAAAACACAACGATGAGTTGCAGTACCAGCGATCAATTTCCCCTATCATGTGTGAGTTCAGGTGTGAATATCAAACTATTTTTGCTTCACTTGTCAGTTTTTTGTTTTGAATCTTATCTTCATGATCCAGCTGCTGCTGCTGCTGATTCTGTTGTTTCCAGTTCTGTAATGGTGAAATTGAGGATCAAATCTGTTCTTGAGAAAATGTGGAGTCCACATATTTCTCTGGTTCAATTCTGGGCACCCATCAAGGTCAACGGATCGAATTTCCTGTCCACTGCAGATCAACTATTTGTTTTCAGTAAGGAACTTGATAAGAGGTTGTGTTCATACAGGAGGTTCTGTCTCAATACTTTGATTCCAATTGATGAGTACAAGGAAGGTCTACTTGGACGAGTTTCCAAAAGTTGCTCGCCAGAATGTAACCCCGACCTCCCAAGTTACTCCGCTGCAGAGTTTCCACTGCTTCAAAGTGGAATTCGATTGGGAATCCATTCTTATTATGCAATTCCAGTGTTCAACCTCCATGATCAGCGGTACCTTGGTGTACTTGAGATTGTATCTACAAAATCAGCTCTACGTCTTCCCCAACTTATTAAGGTATTTGCTCATCTCTTCTTTTATTTTATTTTTAGAATGCTCAAATGTTGAATAGCTGCAGTTTTTCGATTGCTTTCTGGCTGTCAGCCTTTTTTGAATCGACTAGCATGGAATTTTCTCTCTCTTCTAACGCTCAACTTAGAATGTCTTCTTACCCACCCTCAACCCCACCCCCTGAGACAACTCCAGCCTGCGACCAGTAATTTCAAGAGACAGCAGCGCCAATGCGTGTAGGAGAGTACAAATCGTTTTCGTCTAGAACAATAACAACAACACATTGATATCTACTCCCTTCACACAGGTTCTACCTGCTGAAGTTGGTACCTCTGGTTGCACTGGTCGATTCTTTATATTCGACCCTAGTAGATATATATATTGCTGCTTGCTCTTGTGTTTCTGTATCACAAATTTATATTTAGTATTAGTGGTTGGCTGAGTCTAAATATCACAAATTTCTTGTACTTGGTTTTCTCTAATTAGAGTAGTACACGGGTCATTGTTACTTAGATTTACAACTAGTTACTAGTCTGCCTCTTGCTGGTTGGTTCCATTTGCTGTCTGGCTTTCTTGTCTGCTCTCTAGTTTTCAGACTTTAGTTCTTCTTAGAATCTTGTGCGGTATTAGTTTTACTTGCCATTTCCTGCTTGTGTGGTAGTAGTGATTTCACCTTGTTTTAGCGGTAGTGGTTTAGAGATTGACCCTGGAGTGGAGTCTAGGTTCAGGTTGAGAAGGACCAAGATTAAATACTTGGAGTGCAACTTTAATGATGTGACACATGAGGCTAATGTGGAAGTTAGACTTGATACATAGGTCATCCAAAAGAGAGGTAGTTCTAAGTATCTTGGGTGGATTATCTAGGGATAACGAGAGATTGACGAGGATGCACCCACTATATTGGTGCAAGGTGGAGGGAATGAAGGCTCGCATTTGGAGTCTTTGTGATAAGAAGGTGTCACATGGACTCAAAGGGAAGTTCTCTAGGGTGGTAGTTAGACCAGTTATGTTGTATGGTGTAGAATGTTGGTCAGTCAAGAACTCTCACATTCAGAAGATGAAAGTGGCAGAGATGAGGATGTTGCAATGTATGTGTGGGTATACTATGAGAGATAGAATTTAAAATGAGGATATCCTTGAAAAGTTGGGGGTGACTTCGGTAGAAGACATGATGCGGGAAGCGAGGTTGAGATGGTTCGGGCATGTGATGAGGAGATGCATGGATGCCCCAGTGCGGAGGTGTGAGAGGTTGGTTATGGATGGATTCAGAAAAGGTAGAGGTAGACCAAAGAAGTACCGGGAGAGGTGATTAGATAGGATATGACACAATTACAGCTTATTGAGGACATGACCTTAGATAGGAAGGTGTGGAAGACACAAATTAGGGTAGAAGGTTGGTAGGTTGGAGAATGTCCATACTAGTAGTTAGGAGTGCTTGTTGCCCTACTGAGTAGTCATAGGACTACTCTCTTGTTCTCCGATTTCTATGACTATTTGTTATTTCATGTAGTTTGTTTTTTAGTTAGTCTTTTTGTTGTAGTACTATTATGTTCCTATCTATTGTTTTGTTACTATCTTTTGTCTATTGTACTTTCATTATGTCTTTTCCTAGCCTGTTTTTTCCTTGAGCCGAGGGTCTATCAAAAACAACCTCTTTATCTCACCTTTGAGGTTGAGGTAAGGTCTGTGTACACTACCCTCCCCAAACCCCATTGTATGGGACTACACTAGATATGTTGTTGTTGTTGTATGAGGCTTACCTTAAATATATTCTGGCTAGGATGATCACTTTCTGTCTTCATCATGATATCTGTAGGAGTTAGGCCATAGACTTGAAGTCAACACTTTCCTGGAAGATAGATGAGGTTGGAGGGATGGTCATATGCTTGAATTTAGACAAAAAACAAGTGTGCCACCCATTCTTTTGGTTGTGCGAATACATGTCTAAATTGTTGGATTTCAACCAAAGGACATTGGTTAATTACTTTTGTTTATATTCTGTATTTACTGTTTGAAGAAGTCGATAATCCTTGTTTGTTTTTCCATCATAGGGGTTGAATTCCAAATCATTTGGGTTGTATAGCATTTGTAACTCAAGGGACATGCTTTTTGGACTTTCAGAGGTATGGTGTTGTTGTTTTTTTAAGTTTTGTGAAACCAGGCAACATAAATAAAAGTAAAAGAAAAGGAGATCAGAGACTGTTCTCGTTTTTATTTCCATTGCTCTAATATATATGTCCCACTAATTTCATAGCTTATCTTATCATATTACAGCCGCTGGTCGATGATAGACTTGTCGAACTAGAGATCGGGTTATATGAGATCCTTAAAATACACAGTTTACCCTTTGTTCAAATTTGGATTCCTTATTCTCAATCCGGCTCTTCAAAAGTCCTGTGTTGTGCTGGCGCCTCCATCTATGAACATTCGAGTTCAATGTATCATGAGTTTGAAGATGTTTCTGAGGCCTGTTTTATTGAGAGCGGTAAGGCATTGGTCGGGAGGGCATTTGCATCCCAAGGTTCATGCTTTTGCAAAGATGTTACTCTATTAAGCTTCAATGAATACCCTTTGGTGCCTAGTGCACGAAAAGCTAGATTGACCCAGAGTTTTGCAATTTGTTTGCAAAGCAAATGTGCCAACAATATTGTTTCTGTGGTTGAGTATTTTCTGCCACTCAATGAAATGGTTGTTGGAGATACAAAGACTTTCTTAAATACGCTTTTATCCACAATGAACGAACAACTTCCAGGTTTCATAGTTGCTTCTGGAAAAGAACTAGGGCAGAGGATGCTCGTTGAAGTTGTTAAAGTTTCCCTGAGTGATGAACTTGACTCCTTTGAAATTGGCCAACCTCTGCCGAGTGTTCAATTACATCAGGATGGAGGGGAAACAACAGAAATCGGCCAACCTCTGCCGAGTGTTCAATCACATCAGGATGGAGGAGAAACAACAGAAATTGATTATTTTTGTGAACAGTCAAATTTACAGAACATGGAGAATAATGTTGCTGCTGCACTACTGGTTCCTTCTTGTTCATCACTCAAGCGCGACTCACTCAACTGTGAGCGGACAGTGGAGGTTTATCCGTTACTTCCTCATCCAATAGAGGAAGCTGTGACAAACAATGGAACGGTTAATGTGGATGTAGCACATGATGACCACATTGAGGATACATTTGAAATGATGCAACTTGGTTCACACTTTGAGCAACCAAATTTAAAAATTAATTAATGCGGGCAATGCAAGGAATAATGACAAAGTGGAGCATAATGATTTAGATATGTCAGACAATCGTTTCAAGCTGAAGCTATAAACAGAGAAAGTAACTTTGCCCGTGGAGCAACAACTAACAGCGAGAAAATCCATTCACAGAAGAACATCATAATACAAAGGATAGAAAAAGATCATGGGATTACCCGGAAGATTCTGGAGCAGCATTATGGCATGACTCTTGAAGATGCTGCCAAAAGTCTACATGGTAAGTTCACTAACTTTAGCGAATTTGAGGTTCATAATTCTTTTTGTGTTATTATATATATGTACGCTCCTATGCCTTTAGCTGAAATGATTTATGCATAGGTTCACTGAAATCCCTTTTGTGGACTTCTTTTATTGCAGTTAGTCGAGCAACACTGAAACGAATTTGTAGAATATATAATATCTCTAGATGGCCACATCACAAGACTAGAAATGTTAATGTCCATGTTAGCCAAGGCGTATCTTTTCAAGGTGCTGAACCATATGTGAGCGATCAACAATGTCCTGTTCTTTCCCAAGAAAAAGGCACAGATTATTTGGGTAACAAAAGATCTGCTGCAACAGGAAAACCTTGTGATAGTGTGATGACTTTAAAGGTTACATATAGAGGTGATATCATTAAATTCCAACTCCCCTTTTCATCAACGAGGATAGAATTGGAAGGGGAAGTGGAAAAGAGGCTTAAGATATCACTTGAAAGGTTTTCAATAAAGTATGAAGATGAAGATGACGATTGGATTTTGATAACTACTGATTCAGATTTGAGGGTTGGTATGGATTCACTAAGGTTGTTGGGAAGGACTAGTATGAGATTACTGGTTATCCCAAAAGCTGAGACATGAAGGATTTTTTGTAAGTTTTGTTATGGTGTTCATCTTCATTACAGAAATGTTATCTTTTGGTGACATGGTGTTTCTCTTCCCTGCTGTGTTGTGTGACATGTCTTTGTGCTCAGTGAACCAAGGTGATTAATGTTGTTACGAATGGGGAACTGTCAAATTACGAAAAATGCCTATATATAGAAAAGGAATCACAAGGAAGATTTTAGTTAATACAATTATTAAAATTAATAGTATTTTACTTCCACTTTTTGTAATATGGAACCACCTATTAATGGTAGCCAGATTGTGTCCCCCGGCTTCAATTCTTAGGATCGAAATAATTAGGTGTCATGCGGAAGCAAGCAAATCAAACTTTGATAGACCATGAGTAATAAGACAAGCAAGAAATACACAAAAGACACAGATTTAACATGGTTCGGTCAACAAACCTACATTCAACAAGGAGACGAGCAATCCACTGTATAAACATAAGAGTACACAATAAATAACTTAAACCAATTCACTCGCAATAAAAAGAGGTGTAGTCACTTGTGTCCCACAATTTTCCCCTCACCAAAATTCTGAAAGCCTCTAAGACTACATTGTGAATGTTAATTAAGTTATAAGGAACAAACTTCTATTTATAGAGTCCTAAACTTTTTCCTACGAGAAAAGGACTAGCCAAATATGAAGTCTTTAATTATGTTTTCTTTTTAGGAAAAGGAAAACCTATTTATGGTAAGAAACTCAGGGTAAATAATACCCAACAAATGCCACTACGGATATATATAGACAGTGTAATGTAAAACTAGTAAGAAATGCTACATTGTAGTATTATGGATGATAATATTTAAACAGAAAAGGGCCTAAAATACCCTCGAAATATTGAAAATGGTACACAACTACCCCTCATCCACCTATTGGCTCCCAAATACCCTTTCCATCCACCTATTGGCTCACAAATACCCTCCACATCCACCTTTGGGTCCAATTTTAGCCACTTCATTAACGGAGCACCATTTAAAATAATTAAATAATCCTTTTAATTACGTGACACTCAACCATTGGTTTGAATTATTAAATTGGGTGTGGGTTTAAAATTATATTAAATAATTAAATTGCAATCAATTTGATTAATTATGCGGATAGAAAAAGATCATGGGATTACTCGCAAGATTCTGGAGCAGCATTTTGGCATGACTCCTAAAGATGCTGCCAAAAATCTAAGTGGTAAATTCACTAACTTTAGGGCATTTGTGATTCGTAATTCTTTTTGTGTTATTATATATATGTACGCTCATATGCCTTTTAATTGAAATGATTTATGCATAGATTCACTGAAATCCCGTTTGTGGACTTCATTTATTGCAGTTAGTCAAGCAACACTGAAACGAATATGTAGAGAACATGAAATCGCTAGATGGCCAAATCACAAGACTAGAAAGGTTAATGTCCATGTTAGCCAAGGCATATCTTTTCAAGGTGCTGAACCATATGTGGGCGATCAACAATGTCCTGCTCTTTCCCAAGAAAAAGGCAGCGAATATTTGGGTAACAAAAGATCTCCTGCAACAGGAGTATCTCGTGATGGTGTGATGACTTTAAAGGTTACATATGGAGGTGATATGATAAAATTTCTACTCCCCCTTTCATCAACGAGGGTAGAATTGGAGGGGGAAGTGGAAAAGAGGCTTAAGATATCACTTCCAAGGTTCTCAATCGGTTTAAAATTATATTAAATAATTAAATTGCAATCAATTTGATTAATTATAAGGATAGAAAAAGATCATGGGATTACTCGCAAGATTCTGGAGCAGCATTTTGGCATGACTCCTAAAGATGCTGCCAAAAATCTAAGTGGTAAATTCACTAACTTTAGGGCATTTGTGATTCGTAATTCTTTTTGTGTTATTATATATATGTACGCTCATATGCCTTTAACCGAAATGATTTATGCATAGGTTCACTGAAATCCCTTTTGTGGACTTCTTTTATTGCAGTTAGTCGAGCAACACTGAAACGAATATGTAGAGAATATGAAATCTCTAGATGGCCACATCACAAGACTAGAAAGGTTAATGTCCATGTTAGCCAAGGCATATCTTTTCAAGGTGCTGAACCATATGTGGGCGATCAACAATGTCCTGCTCTTTCCCAAGAAAAAGGCAGCGAATATTTGGGTAACAAAAGATCTCCTGCAACAGGAGTATCTCGTGATGGTGTGATGACTTTAAAGGTTACATATGGAGGTGATATGATAAAATTTCTACTCCCCCTTTCATCAACGAGGGTAGAATTGGAGGGGGAAGTGGAAAAGAGGCTTAAGATATCACTTCCAAGGTTCTCAATCAAGTATCAAGATGAAGATGACGATTGGATTTTGATAACTACTGATTCAGATTTGAGGGATAGGATGCATTCACTAAGATCGTTGGGAAGGACTACTATGAGATTACTGGTTACCCCAGGAGCTGACACATGAAAGAGTTTCCGCAAGTTTTGTTATGGTATCTTCATTGCAGAAATGTCATCTTTTGGTGACATGGTGTTTGTCTCTTCCCTGCTGTGTTGTTACATGTCTTTGTGCTCAGTGATTAAATGGGAATTTGTCAAATTACGAAAGATGCCTATATATAGAAGAGGAAAATAATCATAGGACTTATGATATGAGTTCTGTCATTTTCTTTTGATTATCTATTTTGTATTTTCTGTTTGTTGTTTGATTACATGAACAGCCTGTTTGTAAGTTGCTTTGATGATCAATACAAAGCTTAATTTGTTACATTATTGTTCCTACTCCATGCCTATGATCTGCCCTGTTACCATGCTCGATGTTCAGTTCAATACCCTCTTTAATCAGTAAAGGTGATGCAAGGGTCATTCTAGTATTGTCTCTTCCATTTGCAGTATGCTATCACCACTGCAGGAGGAGATGAAATCGGACTCCACGGCTTCAGAGATTTCAGATGCTACAACTATCATCTCTGTGTGAGAGTCAGCTTACAATGATAGTAACACCGGAGGTGGGCTGATATTGTGAAATCACATCAGGACTCACAGCTTCCAATTCATGCTGTTGGAGAAACAATAGGAGTTTGGCCACAATGTCAAGCTCCTTAAATCATAGGTAATGAACCGGCTACTAAGACACTATTCATATCCCTTTTATTCATACTGTTTTTTTTAATAAAAAAAATGAGATGAAAATATTCTCTGCCCAATTATTTGCAGGAAAGATAATATAATTGCACCTAATTATCTTTCATACATTAAAAAATATATATATATATAAAGTTGTAATTTCTTCTTCACGTAATTATTTATTATTAAGCTCTCCATTCCTATAGGCTCTTCCATTTTATGGTTATTAGCATCTTAGTTCTATATTTTGTGCATGTAGGCACTAATTTTTATATATTTTCTTTATTTATCTACAATAATTTTCTTTATATTTATTTTTATACTAGTTTCATAACACATGTGTTGCACATGTGTATCGTATCATATAGTATACGATGTTGTTAAATGGAATTGATATTTCTAAATTAAAGTTTTTTAGTAAATAATTATAATTGAAAGAATATAAGACAAGTGTTTTAAATGATTAGTACAAATTGTCATTGAGTTACTTGTTTTTTGAGATCAAATTTATCAATATAATTGAAATATTTCAAAATACATTCAAAGTTTAAATATGGGAGAAAGTGACATTTTTTTTACTTCACTCATGTTGTAGTTTCTAGATTCCATAATGTGGAATTATACTGAATATGTGGTTATTTTTTTATTGTTGTTATCATGTTAAAGTTTATCAGTATACACAATTTCCTAATTAATTAGTTATATTTTTTCACGTAGTTAGAATTCCTTTTTAATTTATCGTCCAGTGTGGTTGTCTCTCTCTCTATATACTAGTTTTGGAAATGTGCAACGCACGTTTGACCCTTACTCTATTATATAAAATTTATAAAGACTTATCTTGTTGATAATAAGGTAGCACCATTGTGTACTACCAAGTTCGTCCCTTGATTCCATGTAACTTAAAAAATTTGATAAAAATAAATTATATTAAATAACTTTTTTTTAAAAATAAATTATTTATAAGTAGGAAGTGTCATTACATGTTTATTTCAATTGTGAAATAAAAGAAAATAATATTAATGAGTAATTAAATACTATAAATGTAATTTATACTAAAAACAACACATTGTAAAGAAAACAACATTCAATAATTATATAGTATAAATTCACGAAATCTCTGCTTGAAACAATAATAACATGATATGGTATGTAAAATTTGTCACTTTATTATGTCTAAGGAGTTAAATAATATTTTTGAACTGATAAAATAGCAAACTAATGAAGAAAATACGTATACATAAATAATTGGATAGTGCAACAAGATTCTCAATTCAACATTATATGTTCTATTAATTATTTATCAGAATCACACAAACTTTAAAAAATTATGAAAAGTAAATTTATAAAAAATGAAAGTTAAAGAGAAATATTTGTAATAACAAATCAATTAACGTTAAAAATAATTAAATACATATGTCATCATATTGTTTCTTGAAAACCATATCATTTTAACACTCCCCTCAATTCTTCCTTCTCCTCCATAAACCCCCGCAAAAACATGGCTTTCCTCCCTTGTCCTTTGAGAAACAACAAAATGAGCAGCCTTTCTCTACTGCCAAATGTCCTTAATGAAATGAACATAATTAAAAATTCTAACTTGCACATGGAAGTTTTAAAGCAAAAAGGGTCTCCAATAATGTCATTTTCCATATCTTCCATGATAAATTTAGTCCCAGAAATGTCCTGTAATGATATCTAACTTGCACATGAAAGTTATAAGCAAATACAAAGAGTGAGAGGATATCATCTCACTCTAAAATTATCCAACACATGAAGCTATTACTCATAAAGCTTATGTGGAATACATGAACCTTTTTAAATATATCAATAACAGAAAAAATGAACAAAAAATAAAAAATTACATTACATAAAAACTAAAAGATGATGAAACATAAAGTGTAGTGGACTAACATTTTTTATCCAATTTATAAAGGGAGAAATTGTGTACATAAAAAACTGTAAATAATTGTGTTTAATGGTAGAAGCTAAAAGGTTTAACAATGAAAGCTATTAATAAATGGAAAATGATAAGTTGTAACATCTAACAACAATGTAGTTTAATTGTCATTATATATTTAATTTTTAAAAAATAGTAAAAGTATTTTTAATTTTAAAAAATAGTGAAAGGTATTTTCGTAATCTAACTTTGAACCTAAAATCTTTCCACTTTTAGTAATATTAATTAATTATTATGATGATGATATAATATAAATGATTTAGTATAGATGAAATACATCAAATCCCTCCTGAACTTGGCTGTAAAACTTACTTTAATACTTTAACTACACGGGTGTTCAAATACCCCCTAAACAACTTTCAAGTGAATTAAATACCCCCTTAATGGCTGATGTGGCAAATAAAAAAAGAAAAGCGTGTAAAAAGTTAAAAATTAAAGAGAAAAAAAATAATAATTTGGCTACTTTTTTTCTTTTCAGCCAATAAGAATTTTTCTCTTCATCTTCCTCACACCCCACCACCCCTATCCACCAACAACCCTAGCCCTTTTTCTTCCTCACATCCCACCACCCCTTGCCACCCTCAATCACCACCTGCACCACCTCCTCATTTTTTTTTCGAACTCCCCACTTTCTTTTTCTTTCTTCGAAATCTTTCACCTTCACCCTATTTCTCCTTCTTCAAACCCTCCATCCGCATCCCTCTTCTTTTTTTTTTCAAACTCCATTGTCTCAGTCATCACCTGCCTCATCCCTTTCTTCTTCTTTGATGAACCTCTTTCTCCCCCCTTCTTTCTTCTTCTTCGGAACATTCATACCCCATTTATTTTCCATCACTAAATTCAAATTTTTCTCACTTATTGTTAGATATGAAGAACAACGAAAAAAATGAAAAAAACCAACAACTTATTATTGCTTCAAGATTACTATTATGAAGGTGTTTATTGATTTGATGAACTTAAAGATCTTTTTAGTGAGAAATTTATAATTTTTTCATCTCAAATTAAATTTTTATTTATAACTATGTATTTACTTTGATAATGTGCCTTACAGATTGGATGTTTTTAGTGAAAATGGTCTTGATAATTTTGGATCTGTGGAGTTTGATCTTTTTTGAGAATTTTTTACTTTTTATTTTTCTTTTTTAAAAATTTGGGTTAATTTTTTTTTTTTTTTACTTTCTAAAAATTGTGAATTAAGAAAACAAAAAAAGGAATAAAAAAACTCAAAACTTAAATAATTATCAAAGTGGCACTGACGTGGCAGTGACATGTGAGGCTAAAAATACATATTTTTAATCATTATTTTCTCACATTTATTATTTATATTTGTCCTTTTTGAGCATTAATTTGATAGATTGTGCTAAATTGTGTATTTTATTTGTAGGATTAAATTGGTGGAAAATTGGAGAAGTTTGGAGCTAAAACGAATTAAAGATTAAAAGGTTCAAGAAGGAAATCAAGCAGGCAGCTTAATGGATTAAAGGGGAATAAAATATTATATTTATATAAAAGGGCATATTGCGAATTGCAAAAGATTTAAGTTGAATGAATAAGATGACACGTGGCAGTCTCTCAATGCATTGATCAATTGATGAATGGCAGTGCAGAATCAACAAATTCATTGAGGCGGCACCACTGTTCACGCGGCGAAAAAGAAAAAGGAATCCAATTCCTTTTGGTTTTGGATTCCTAATTTAATTTGGACTCAAATATTTTATTTAGGGTTTTCTACATCTATAAATAGTACATAGAAATAATTATTAGGGGGAGCCCAAGAACCAAGATACAAGACACAATATAAATTTTCTTTTAGCTTAGGAACTTTGGAAGAGCCGCCGTGGAGGCCGGAGAATTGTGGTTTATTCTTTCTTCTCCTTTATTATTTATTTGTATTCGTGATTAATAAAAGATAGTTTAGCTATTGTTCTTAACTTTTTATGATTAACACAAGCATATTTATTTTAATAAATTTGAATTGTGTTTTTGAGATAATGAGTAGCTAACTTTCATAACCAAGGTTGTGGGAACCATGAACGATTAACAAAGTATGAATAGTACCTAAGTAATTCTTGAATAGTGTTATTGCATGCATTGATAATTCTTTCGTTTAGAAGTCTTTTTAACGGTGGCCAACGTTAGAACTCGCCTTGTTACTACTTGCCGGACCAAGGAGGTAATTAACAAGAAAAGAATTATCAACATAGATTTAGTGTGATACTATCTAATAGGCTAGTGTCGATTGGTGCGAAGTAATAACTAAGCCAAACATCGATTATGATGTCTAATATGAGGTAAAGGTAAGGGTTAGTAAATTATACACACGTAGCCGGATCAAGGTGCGGGGTGAAATTCT